TTCTCTTCTCTTCTCTTCTCTTCTCTTCTCTTCTCTTCTCTTCTCTTCTCTTCTCTTCTCTTCTTGGTTTCAAATGTTTCACTGTTTATCTGACTGTAGCTTCTTCAGTCTGACCAAAGGAACTGCTTGAATAAGCAGCAAGATGTTTCAAGCCAAATAGAAAAGGAATGCAGTTGCCATGACACATTCCAGAAAACTCCATATGAAGGACGGATTATCTTTATCAATATACCCCCAGAGTAATTGGAAGTTTTGTGTTGAGACATGCCTTGTTTATTGTTTATTTATTTATTTGTATTTGTATTTATCTGCCCAATAGTCAGGCAGTCTTGTTGCAACTGATGGGGAAGCCTTGAATTCAATTCAATTTCAATTAGCATCTGTCCTTATAAAAAGTGACATTAGTATTTATGTACTGGACCAGATGAAAAGAAAAAATGTTTCTTATTGCTCTTATCATCTAGCCCACGTGTGTCAAACCTATGGCATCACGTTGCTGTCACGTGATATTTCGTGATGTTTTTCCCATTCACGGAGCTGGGGTGGGTATGGCCTACGTCTGATGCATCCGGCTGTTCTGACCCAGCCTTCATGAGCCCCACTCAACGGCTTACTTGTGAAGAGAAACCCCTTTTTATTTAGAAAGGCAGGAATACATGGCATTCACTGACAAAGCTCCAGGTCACACTTCCTTAGGTGATTCACACAACAGTTTCAAGGAGCCTCAATTAGCATTTCAGTCCCAACACAAAGAGTCCTGAATGACCTGGTTAGTGGCAAGGAAACCCTAGCAAAGAATGTGCTGGAGGGAACTTTTCTGGAGCATGAACAGTTGTCTCCAACAACCTTGCCTCACACACCCTTCCTCCTATATCCCAGCCAGGAAGGGCCTTGTTAACATCTCCTTCTTTTCCTGGATAGTTGGCCCTCAGTCCTGCGTCTGTGCATAGGCGCATTTGGGACAGGGCCCAGCTGTTCCTCCTCCTCCTCACTCAGCTCAGGCCCTGAAAACAACTGTTTCTCCACCTGAGTGTGAGTAGATGGGCCCTGCTCCGCATCTGGTTCTGAGACCTCCTGCAGAGCCAGCTCCCATGGTAACCCAAGCACCTTCTCCATCTCCTGTGATTCAACTGACTCGACTGCCATCTCCACTGGCAGTTGATGAACCACAATATTGGCCCACGGGCTACCAGTTTAACACCCCTGATATAGACCATTGCCAGAGGATCAACAGTGCAGGGAAATTGTACACTGTTTGCTGTTGGATGAACATAGTGGTCTACAACAGGATTTCTCAACCTTAGCAACTGTAAGATATGCGGACTTCAACTCTCAGAATCCCCCAGCCAGCATGGCAATTGAAGTCCACACATCTTAGCGGAAACACTGCTGTATTGGCTGAGGGATTCTGGGAACTGAAGTCTACACATCTTAAAAAGGTGCCAAGGTTGGGAAACATTGGTCTAGAGGATAGAGGGGCATTGGATATCATGTAGGTGCTACCAGACACAAATAGCATCTGAGTTTTGATTGTAGGCTGAATCCCAGTTGAATAGTGGGGGAGGATAAGCTGACATTTTGTAGGAATTTTTCACAGCCTCATTCAGGAAAACAAGGACCTTTGAACCACTATCCTTAAGAATAGATGCAAGTAGAAACTATAACTCAGGTACTTTCACAAAATGGCTGCCATGATTTCCCCTCTGTTTTTCTCTTGTTTCCATCACTCACACAGAAAAACATACTTGCAAAAGGTAAATTGGAGAGATTGTTCTCTGTCATTAGTCCCTATGATGTTCCTTGCCACCGTCCCACTTCGGGAAATGTGCTATTCTTGGATTGGGCTATAGCCACCTACACTTTTTAATTATCTAAAATGCTCCAGAGAAAGGCACCAGAGAGGAGCTCATTTGGTTACCTCAGCTATTCCAGATGTTCCCATTAATCTCAAAGCAGCCTTTTCTAGCATGATGTTTGTTTATTTATCTATTTTCATCTTGCCTTTATCACTTTTTATAAATAACTCAAGGTGGCAATACTCCTTCCTCCTTCTAGTTTTCTCAGAACAACTGCCATGGGTAGTGACTGGTCCAAAGCCACCCAGCCAGCTTTCATGCCTAAGGCAGGACTAGAACTCACTGTCTCCTGGTGTCTAGCCTGGTACCTTGACCTCTCAACTCAATTGGCTTCTTCCAGAAATGGAAGAAAAAAATGCTCTTGAATGGAATAGAATAGAATTCGTTATTGGCCAAGTGTGGTTGGACACACAAGGAATTTGTCTTGCTTCAAATACTCTCAGTGTACATAAAGGAAAAAATACATTTGTCAAGAGTCAAGAATCATAAGGTACAACATTTAATAATAGTCATAGGGTACAATAAGCAATCAAATCATACTAGGAAACAATCAATATAGATCGTAAGGATACAAGCAACAAAGTTACAGTCATACAGTCACAGGTGGGAGGGAATAGATAATAAGGAGTGATGAGAAGGTTAATAGTAATAGTAATGCAGAGTTAGTAAATAGTTTGACAGTGTTGAGGGAATTATTTGTTTAGCAGAGTGATGGCGTTTGGGGAAAAACTATCCTTGTGTAGTTGTTCTGGTGTGCAGTGCTCTATAGCGTCGTTTTGAGGGTAGGAGTTGAAACAGTTTATGTCCGGGATATGAGGGGTCTGTATATGTTCACAGCCCTCTTTTTGACTCGTGCAGTATACAGGTCCTCAATGGAAGGCAGGTTGGTAGTAACTGTTTTTTCTGCAGTCCTAATTATCCTCTGAAGTCTGTGTCTGTCCTGTTGGGTTGCAGAACCAAACCAGACAGTTCTAAAGGTGCAGATGACAGACTCAATAGTTCCTCTGTAGAACTGGATCAGCAGCTCCTTGGGCAGTTTGAGCTTTCTGAGTTGGTGCAGAAAGAACATTCTTTGAGAGGAATGGTAAGAAAAGAAAAGCAGAGGGCCACTTGTGCAGTTTTCTTGATCAGGAGGCTTTTCAGACAATTACTCATGCCCTGGTCACCTCAGGAGGCTGTTATACAATAGGGAAGCTGGTATAATAGCAACAATTCCAATTGGTCCCTTCAACCCAATTAATGAACCACTTCTTATATGCAGCAAAGCCATGGAGCGACACACCCATGAAAGTCTTAAGAGATTCTTGAATAACAATGATCATACCCACAGCCCTGCCTGAATTCTCAGCTGTTGCCACACCACAAACATAGCTGGGCACATTTCCAAAAGGAGAACACCCCTGCCACTTCTGGACCCAGGCAGGTCCCAATAATACATCAAATCACAGATGAAGGAGGCCTTGTGCATGCCAACCCAGCATTTCGTAGCCTCAGCTGGAAGGCAAGGCTTGTAAAAGTCTGCTGGCCAGGTACGTGGGTTGAGATCAGGGCGATGGAATGCAAAATCAGGATAAGACCCTGGACAGAGGTGCCTTCTTCAAGAACTTCTGGAGGTTTTTCTACTTGCTTAGAAATGAGTAAAGGACCAGATGTGAATTTTCTAATGCAACTGCCCCATTTGAAATTTCTTGTGTGAAATTAACTGTGTCTCTAAACTTGCTTGTATATGCATTCACATGGGAACATCAATATATGTGTCCTTGTGTATCTGACCAAGACCAAGATGCTGGAGTGTGGGAATTATTCTTTGTTCTTTGTGTACGTGCTAGGACAACGGAGCCTTCTGGTGGTTGGCTGGAACACGAAGCAAGGAGCAAGGACAAATTGTTGCCATTTCTTAACCAGAACTGTAGCAAACTTAAACTTTACAGCTTTGTATGCTTATGCGAATAATCAGTGCATTTTGTGTGATGTAATGTGTTTGTGATAGGACGCTAACAAAATTGCTACGTTAACAAAGATTGCTTCTAATAAAAGAGGGTTTCGGAGTTTGCTCTGTGCTCTCATCCCGAGACAGCCTTGCGTTGTGTCTTCTTTTCATGAGAGACCACCACACTGGAGATCCATAATAACATTTGGGAGATTCTTAATCTGTGTCCTGAATGAATAGAGGAATGGACCTGAACCTCAGGTGGTAGAGAAAGGAGAAGGATGCTGGGGGTTTTCTGACAAGGAAATCACCAGGATGCTAATATGCTTATTCAAGTGGAATAAGGCTCAAGTGGAGACGTGTTTGTTCCAGAAGGATCCTCAAAGTCTGGCCAAGAAGGTGAAGCTGCAATGATGCCATCAAAGTTCCACCTTTTTGCCTTTTTTAACCATAACCTTGCAGGTACACCTGGCTA